ATAAATACAAATACACTTTTTTCTAATAAATTTTTGCTATTTCTATTTCTGTTTCTATTTCTATATCTAATACATTTTTTATTTTCTCTATATTGTGTATTTTCTATAATATTTTTAATCTATAAATTTTCTACTTTCATTTCTAATATATTTTCTATTTCTATTTCTAATAAATCGTTTATTCTCTATAAAATTCCTAATACATTTTTTATATAAAAATTGAGGTAAAATATTACTGAAAATCAACAATCTTTAAAATATTTTTTAAATACCCAACATCATCCTTATCCAACAATTTCCTTCAATTCCCATGTTATTTATTAATCTCCCAAGTGTCTAATAAGAAAACCCAGATAATCGATGACACAGTGGATCAGAGACGAAGTTTTCATATATATTGGATAAAAAGCGAGGAGCAGTCACGGGAAGCAAAGATAACATTGGCTACCGTTCGCTTTTAGCTTGATTAAAATTTACTTTCCTCCCTGGGCACATCCAATATTTATTCCAAGCTTGTTACGAACCAGTCAGACGGATATTCCAATGCCACCGTATAAAAAATTCATTCAATGTATTTTTATGATCGCGCGTGACTCGGATCCACGACGATTGTTAACATTACATTGACGTATAAGCGAATAAAAACACACTCTACGATAAAAATCAATGTAATAGTCAAACGTAAGAAAAAAGACCTTTATTTAGTATTCAAGGATCTTTCTTTTTATTGAACTATAATTAGTCCACGTCTAAAGCTACTTATTAATGATTTTTATTTCCTTGTTAGATAAAACATAAATGAAAGAAGAATAATTATATTCATGCTAATTAATTTTTGTATTTTATTTTTATTTATTGTATTTTACACTGGATTAAGATTTCTGGGCCCCATAGCTATCAAATCTTCGGGGGCCACCCTTGGTTAATAAATTTGGTTTAAAAATAAAAATGTATTCTAATTAAAATTAAATAACATCTAATCGTAAAGAGAGAGCAATAGTAACAAAATTTCATTCAATATTTTTTGATATAATAAATAGAAAATTTATAATGCAGCCCCGCTTAGACCTTTCCTCAATTCCCTGTATTTTATTTTTATTTCAATTTTCGAGCGTAGATTATAAAAATTCTAAAATACGTAAAAATCATTAATTAATTAATTGATTTTTATTTTTCATTATAGGTATCGTATTTAATGTGAGTCGTTACATGGATTTCCACCCAGGAGGAATCAGCGAGCTGATGAGAGGCGTCGGTAAAGATGCCACAAAACTATTCGAAAACGTGAGTCCATCAGCTTATCAATCATTGCTCGACATCAACACACCATCAACGATTATTTTTACGTACCCATAGATCGTTCGTTGCAGGTGCACGCTTGGGTCAACTATCAGAGCATCCTTCAGAAGTGTGTAGTTGGAAGATTGAGTCGTAGCGCAGGGAGCAACAACAGCAACAACAATAGCAGTTCATCCTCATCAACAGAGAACGTTGTGTCAAATACGATCAATTGTTCCTTAACTAAGTTGGACCTGATCAAAAGTTGCACGAGTAAGTTTTTAAGATTGATTCTGAGACCTTCCGAAGCCTTTGTAGAAGTCTTTCTTGAGGAGAAATATTTATTGTTCCATTAAGAAGAAAAAGAAAAAAAAAGTGGATGATGAAACGAGATAATTGGAGTATGGGTCATCAGGGGTGTTCTGGTTCAGAGTAAGGTATCTGAATTTTTTGATGAGGGATTTTTTTTGCTTATTTTATCATTTATTTGAATAGGAAAGGACACCGTTAATATATTATAAATTAATTCATATGATGAATTTTCAGCTAGCAATGCTAATCAGGAAAACTTGCCAGAGGATAATCCGTCGAATGTAAAGATGGATTGGAGGCAGACGTCCAATTCGATCACTCTTTTCTATCACACGGTGCGCGACTATCCAGGTGTGTGTTATCAACTGCGAAGGATAAGCGACTCGAAATTGGTTTTCAAATTGTTTTTCGAGAGGGACATCATCACCCACGAACTCGATTTAGCGGCGGATATTGAATGGCCACCGGTGTGCAAGAGGAACCTTGACACAATGGAGGTAACACTACTGTCCTCTTCGATATTCAGATATGATTCAAAGCCAGGTTAAAAGTATTAAAATTTTATACTGTCTTTTATAGGTAGACTTTACTTTTACAAAGAGGAAGAAAGAAATATGGAAAACCTTAGGCAGTCACACCATTTCCAGGGAGACTAATACCAGTAGTCGAATATACAAAGAGTATGAAGTACTTGCGAATATACCTCTCTCTAAGTTAGTTCATTTATTAGTCGTGCGAGCTAAAGACTACCTGGAATTAGTGCCCATTGGTAGACACGTAGAAGCTAAAATGAGCGTGATGGGTAAGCAGTAATCTAATCATTATAATTTCTTAGATTTTTCAACCTGTAAACATTGCAGCTCACTCCATAAGGGTTGATTTATTTTCAATTTTACCTTATGATTTTTAGTTTAGAGTAACTAAACATATACTGTTTTAGGTATGGAAGTATCGCGATCGTACACGCCTGTCCCACCGTGCCTTCATCCGGACGACATGGCGCCGAGTTACAGATCCGATTGTTTGTGTCTGATGATCAAGAAGTACCCGAACGGCGCGCTTAGTCCGTCCATAACCGCCCTTCAAAGTGGCCAGACCTTGATGCTGAGCAATGCTTTAGGTGCCTTCGTAGTAGAATCCTTTGATCGCTACTCGGTGATTCATATGCTTGTCGGTGGCACTGGCTTGACAGCGATGCTTGGCATCGTTCAGCGAGCCTTGGCCAGGCGCATCGTGTTAGTATATTCTCGTTCCTGCATCTTCTCCACTTAGTCTGCTCTAATTTCTCTGAGTTATTTTATGCCAAGTGGGTGAAATTAATTTGGAGACGGTTTCTGGCATGTCCTAGGCAAATTCTTTTTTTGAAACTGCAGTAAGTCTTTGGCATGTTGTGTTACTTTCCTTTGACGCAAATGTTTTTTGTTTTTGAAGACACAAGGGGATGGGGAGTGGACATATGATATTTGGAATTGATTTATTTTATTTATTATGTATTTTAGTGGGTAATTAATAGAATTATCGAGAACAAGAGATTACAATGATATATTATAATTTAACAAGTTTTTTATTTCCTCCAGAAAGACCATAAACCTGCTGAACTTCAACAAAGACGAAGATAATATGTTCTATGTGGTACAACTGAAAAAAGCCAGTGCAGATAAAAAGTATATACCTTGTTTACTTATCAGCATCAATTTTAATATTAACTCTTATTATGAACTTTTTATTATCAGACTGAAAGTCACACATATCCTCTCGCAAGCCGGAAGTACGTGGACAGGAAAACGCGGAACGATATCAGATGATTTATTAAAAGAATTGGTCGGGGAGCATTCCCCTGATGCGTGTGTTTTCACATGTGGTCCTCCGGGATTCATTCATTTTGCCAGAAAGTAATTTCACTTGCCTTGCAAGTTTAATTTAATTACTTTTTTCTGTAATAATTAATCCATTTCTGTTTTAGGTCGCTTCAGAAGCTGGACTGGAAACCCTATCAGATGCACGATTTCGACGATTAAACAATTAATTCTCTTTTGATACTAAATTCCAGAATATCAATGAAGTCGTGGAAAACTGAAACAAACAATTATATATGGTTCTATCGAAGGTTTATTAATCAGCTTTTTGGATACTTTTACTCCTATTTCCGCCCACAATGTCACATTCAATGGTAAATGATCGAAGAAACATAATTATCTTAATTTTGAACACAGAGATATTTGATTAAAAAAAGGTCTTGTAAATAACTAACAGAATTAAATTCTCGTACTCAAGGTATTTTGTAACATTTTTTAATTCTACAGAATTGTAATTCTATGTGAGCTTTTCAAATTCCTTTGACGCTTCTCAATGAATATGAATTGTCATTTTTAAACGCAATACAGAAGAAAATCTCGTGTAAATTTCTATACGACTTAGTGTCGATAGGTATTACCACTTTGTACCATATCTGCAAGTTTCAAAGAAACAAATAGGAGTAAGGTTGCGAGTACATTGGCTAGTGATAAAGCATTGTCATATCATTGTTTTCTCAGCCATAAAGCAATGAATTTTAAACAAAAGAGAAAGGTAATCAATTTAGAACAACTTTTAGAACAACGTGATCCTCTGCCAATGTAGTCGCAGCCCAAGGATCTTAAAAGAAAGTACTCGGATTCTAAGTATCCAGCTTTCTATGCGAGAACAAATTATTTTTGCAAAAATCGTCTTATAGCACCTGGAGAACTGTGTATTTTTAACGATTTATCAGAGAGTACTTCACCTAAAGACAACAATTCAAACCTTCATATTCTCTGTTATATAAAATGAAACATCAATTTATTTTTTGAACTTTAGTGATTAGAATTCTTAAAAAATATTTTGGCCTTTTCTATTTAAAATGGAAAACGCATGCTAAATCAATATAATGAAAGGTGAAACTTTTTGAAACAATAGCAACAACAGTGTGGCCTAATTAGAAAAGTGTATTAAATTTAACAGGATCAGCCTTTTTACTATTGTAGGGATCATTAAATTCTCGACGTACAGGTAGGAAGTATTAGAGAATCCTTTTAAAGTATTTTTATCAATTAAATATCATTCCATTGATAAGCTGGTGAATGATTGATATAAATGAGATTTGTTTTTTTTTAAATGTATTCTTAAGTGCGGACCACTTCGTGTATTTAAGTATGTACATGTTAAATACGCCTATGTGTATAATTTATATGTGTGTACATAGTTGTTACCAGAAATAAATGAACATTTGATGGCCTTAGATTTTTTCTGTACAACATAATTTGCATTTGGGCGCTATAAGGTGATGCAAGTGTTGAAAACTTTACCGACAGTCCTTAGAAAAATTCCTAGAAACGAGAATATAAACATTTTTGCGAATCATATGTTCAAATAAAGATAAGAGCACCATTCTTTGGGTCAGATAAAGCAAAACGAGCACTCGCTACGATTTCGTTGATTTTTCACTGACGAAAGACGTCAAAAAGGTAAAACCGACCACAAATTTAGTTCCTCGTTTTTTCTGTAGGGCGCAGTTCATTCGTTTAGTATTCTCGATGGCGCAATCATTCGACGTTTGCATCGCCTTAAATAATATTAAAATATTATATTGAATTGTGTATTAGGTATCAAAAATGCAAGAAACAGAAGACAAAGTTGAAGAGAAGACCGGAGCCATGACTTCTGACATCATTTCCATATTGTCTTCAGAAATGCGTAAGCTGAAAATTTATACCCTATTTTGTCGATACAAATACGAATTAAAATAACATATTTCTCATTTATTCTGCTTTTATGGTGATAATTTATTAAATACCATTAATATCTTATGTATTTTTCTATCTTTTTTATTATTTCGGTGCTTTAAAGTGAAAAAAGTAATCTTGATCATATTTCAATATGGCGTTGATAATTTTCAACGGATCTTTCCATGCTTTTAATGTTAAAGTTTCAAAGCAATTCGAAGTTTCTACCAATGCCTGTGATTGGTCATCCATTATGGCGTCCTTCTATTTGGACCAATCAGATTCATCGTTAAAGGGTGCGTTGCGCGGAGTGTGGTGGAGTGCAACAGTCCTCTTCGAAGCTTCGTCTGTTTGGCACGTGTCTGCAACAGGTAAGATTAAATTATCTTCAAATATTAAATTAAATTGCCGATCGGGTGTTAACAGTACAAAAAACAGAAAGAAACATCGAAGAGAAGTCTGAATTCTTGATCTTTAACATTAATTCGGCGTTTTCTTCAAAAATACGTGAGTTGGAAATTTTTGCTCTCGCTGCGAATGCACAATAAGAGTAGAACAGCAGAATCTGAATTATTTTCTCTTTTATATCGTTAAGATCCTAAACATTATTGAATATTTTTAGTACTGTTTTACACAATTTGCTGTTTTTAATTTAATAACGTTCTTTCTTGAGCATCGTAATATTATTCCTGTTTAGACCTGTTCGTGTACTTGCTTAGGTATCGGCCGGTAACGGAATATACCGAAGAATGCCGAAGCGGTACCGACCGGTTTTCGTCGGGAAGGAAGGTCTCGCCATTTCTCTCGCGAACGTCGAAGTGACAAGACGCGTTGAGAGCATCCTTCCGCATAAGTAATAGGTACACATTGTATCTATTAAAATATTTTGCATCAATTATAGTTCGATCGTTTATTAATAATAACTTTATCATTGTTGATTAAATTTTATTTACATAAATTTGTATTTCTTATTTGTTACAGATATTTTCTTGATACTGAAAAGATGTCATGCGATACGATGCTATGATACTTGATATTGGTAATATTTTATAAAATTCAAATTCATCTATAATTTTATAAAAATAAAGGTTGATAATTTTCATAATTAACCATAATTCTTTTTTGTTCTGTTACAGATGAATTTCCGAATTTTGCCGAGTTCCTGAACACCCTGATGACTGGGCCGATGATTTCCTTCACGACTTCCGTCTTCTCCTATAAGACAACCTCCTACCTAGTTGTTGTGCAGCCTCCTATCTGGTTGTTGAGCATCCTTCTACTTGACTGTCGGAAGAAGAGTATATCTGCGAACGGTGAGTCGCATGTTTTATGGTTCCTCCGGTGCCCAATCATGTCGTAGGACGAATGGTCCGAATCGACACGGGTTACTGGTTGTATATGTGGTTGGCGAGTATAGTGACCATGGGTATGATCATACCCATGAGTAGTAACATTTTTGTTGTGTTTCATTTCATTTAGTTTAGGCTAGGTCTTCTTGTACTTCGCGTTTAAATATTATTTCTATTCCACATATTCCAATAGATATTTATGAAATATATGAATGTTCATGATACGATTTTATAATAAAACGTGGAATATGAAATATTGTAATACAGAAACAATTTTATTTAGTTATTGTAAATATTAAAATCTATATAATATTGGTAATACAATATGTATACTGTATATATATACTAATTATGCTGTAAAGTTTAATTCATTCTATAGCGAAGTTTAACGTATTTACACGTTCATGTAAAATTGAACAATTTATGTGCAAGAAGACAATTCGTGACGGGTAGATTTCCAACTCAGAGTATTCTTGAAAACTTACTTTGAGGAGGGAGTCGCCCGAGGATGTTTTAATTCTTTATTAATTTTCACAATAAATTCTTCTTGATTAGAGTTTTGCCTTTATTAAATTAGTGTTGCGAAAAATTTCTAGCGCGAGAGTAACTATGACGCTGCTCACTCTAGTATTCGGTGGGAATCCTTTAGTTTTTAATCTCAATCCTGTGTATTATTTAATTAATCAAATTAGTTACAAGGATTCCGCGGCATAAGACCGTGAACACCATCTCTGGGAGATATACCCATGCATTACTAGGCCTTTGCAGGCGCAGCTTTAGAATACGGAACATATGAAAATATGTTACCATATTCTAAACTGTAGTCCTTTTGTCTATACTATGGGCGTCCGCAAATCTGACACCGTTGGATGCAACGTGTTGGACGGGCGGGTAGCGCTCTTAGCGAAGGGGTGCACTCTGTCCTGGCGTTACGACGTCCAGGCGGGGTGGGTGGTATGTAGCGTCGGGCACAAGTCCAGGGGGCCCGAAAACCTCCGTTGCCAGCTGATATTAGTAGTGCAGCATTTTTACGTCATAATTGCTCAATATTGCTTTCAGTATTCGCTCTTAAAGCTTTATATTTACAAAGTCGAGTCACTTTTATTAAAATGGTAAAATATTAGCCGGTTAGATGTTTATGTATTAATCATGTTTCTAGATCAGGATTTTCAGGTTTAACTCCTTCCGTGTTTGTTGCCAAAGCCCATTCACGTGCCCAGGTGCTACTTGGATGGGTAGAGGCAATGGGCACGATGACCTAGTTCATAAGAATAATAATTAATAAGCGGCTGGCATTGTGTTAGTATATCATGCACGACGTAATCTCCATATATGGTGTGTGTGTTTTTAGGCTGTGGGATTGCGTCGGTTTAATAACTTTTTCATTTAACTTTTATTTTGATATAATATTTTATTGGACAAGATGTACGATGAACGTACAAACCAAATACTATTATTACCATTACTATTACTATTACTAATACTATATTGCCATTACTATTACCATGATTATTACCATTATTATGAAATATTCTATATCAAAGTTGTTAATTAAATTTTTGTATTATCATTATACGCAATGATTGCTAGCCATGCCAGACGATTTCAGTGAAAAATGGTACGTACAGTAGAGTGTGATGTGAGATGAAACTCGGGTGACGGAGGCGTCCCGGGACGTTCTCCCTAGTGTAGGCTCTTGCGCCCGGGTGGAGTGTATGAGAATCGTGGAATGAATTTTTGTGAGAATGTGATTTTGCCTTTTTTAAATATAGGGTTAGGTAGGTAGGTAGTATACCTTCTGGTGTGTGTGTGATAGATTGTAAGTAGGTAGAGCCGGGACAGGTTGTCACAGTCTCTTGATCGGGTAGGCGCGATTTCGCGTGATCAATCTGTACCTGGAATATATTTGAAGAATTGATGGTACAATCGACGCGAATGGAGTATGCCTTCGTCTTCGATTCTATCTGTACAATTTTTCAAATTTTTGGCGACTTCAAAAGTCGTCATACGCGATCGCGATGTTAGGCACGAAACGCACAAGTTCTGCTCGAGCACGGCACGTGTGCACGAACAACGACTTATATAAAGTCCTTTTTCGTCCATGTGTTAATTAGAATTTCACGATTTTTCTTTTTTGTTGATTTTTTTTTTGCGAATTTGCAAGTCTCGAGCTTTAGATATAAGTTGCAGGTGGGTGGACCGCCCGAAGAAAGAAGAGGCTACATGCCGAAGCGCCCCGACAAACTGTCTTTCAAGAGGGGAACTACTAATGATTTTGCATCCTTTTGCTAAAAAGGATGGGAAATCATTATCGTTACTACTTTGTCACTGTGCTCGCCTGTAGTTGTAGTTTTGTAATTTCAGGACAAGAGGGGGCCCGTGACCCCCATGATTTTGGGCAAATCGTGTTTTCAATTTAGTGTTGCGAATGAATATTGACCACGGTTCAATTTAGTGTTGCGAATGAATATTTATTACGGTTCAATTTAGTGTTACGTATGCATGATTATCGCGATTTTCATTTGTATAATTAATATTGCGTACTTTAAATATCGCTTTTCCTTCTTACATTGCTTTAAGATTTTTTGAGTTTTGCTTTATAATATTGATTGCTTTAAGATAGACTTTTGCTTTTTAATGTTGCTTTAGTGTCGCGAATAAAAAATTCACGGTTTGAGAATCCCCTTTTTTTGCATTTTAATTGCATGTCTGTTAAAGGTAGCGTTGCGAATGACATTAGCGCGATTGTTTCCCAGTGTTGCGACTTATAAATACACGATTGCTTTGCATTAGTTTATAGAGTTCCCTGCTAATTAGTGTTGCGGTAATGAATATTCGCGTTTTGCATTAGAGTTGCGATATATGATCAAATGCCCAAAAATGATCCAGTGGAGCTGCCGTGGTACAGCCTTGGATTGGCTGTACTCATAGGGTACTAAAGTCGGAAACCCTTTCTTTCAATTCTTTTTACTTTTATTTTGTTAAACATAATTTGATATCTATTACAAAAACATAATTCTTATAAAATTACGAGTTTGAATAAGGGAAAAAGGTCATTTTAATAAAAAAATGCATATAGTACACATATAAAATTCAGTTCCATTAGTACCACGAGGCCGTTGCTAGATGGCCACAGCGTTTCGTGTCCCACAATTTGCCTTTTTTACCAATTTGTGGAAATAATGCAATTTTGTATTTTATTAGTTATGCTGACCACTATTAGATGGGATTGGTGGCCCATTTTCAAAGTGTGGACTGATATAAAATTAAAACAAAAAAGGTATGTAAATTTTAAGTTAAACCTCTATGTGCTAAATTTTAAATTATTTTATAATTTCATTTTATTACAATTTATTATAATTTATTTATTACATTGATTACAATTTTATTAATGCTATCTGTGCAGATACATACACTCGCGATCAAATCGGGTTACCACAAGGAAAATGGCAATATAGGGGAAGAAGGAATACTCAAAATCTCAATTTTGACAATGGTAATTATTAAAAGTAATTTAGAATAAAAAATAATACAACTTTCAGTTATAAAATGTTATGAAATTTCATATGTAACTGAAAAGTACGAATAGCAAAGGTAACATTAATTTTCTCGATTAAACATTTACTCGTAAGTGGAAGCGGACTGCAGGACTATATATACGGGACCGTTTCCCGAAATCCGCGAACCCCCAAACCCGAGGATGCCTGTACATTTTATTATATTGAAAACCCATCACGTTTCTAGAACTGATTTTATTTTTCTATAAAAAGGCTGACAGATATTAAGACCGGAATTTTTGTCGTTTTCTTCGAGCGTGCAATTAATCGTTCGCAATTGATAACGTCCCGACGAGTGCGGATTTAATTGATGTCCCGTAAATTACGCGAATCCCGGCCGATCTTGATTGTTTCTCGCGACGATTAAAACGTAATGATATTTGCGGTGGGATTAATCGATCACCCGGTTTCGAACAATGTTTCAAACGATCGTTGGAACACCAGCTATCGAACAATGCATCGCAATGCAGAAAATGGCGGTATTGTTCGAGCTGGGGCCATTCTTCCGCCATGATGAAGATGGAACGAAGTCGTGCGTTTACTGTTCAGCAAGAAATTCCGTTGTTCCGATCGATCGAACACGAACAACAGATTTTCTGATGAAAATTTAATTGAAATTTTGGTAACTACCACAATGCTCTTAGATATGAAATTAACATTGGAGAAGAATGAAAGAATCTACGGGGGTGAGTTGATTAACGGGTCGGTCTTGAAGGAATTAGTGCAATAAATTTTATTTATCGATTATAAAACTGTTCCTATAATTTATAAACCGAAAGGTCACGTTCTAATTTTTTAAAATCATTTTTCACATCATTTTCACTTATCGGATTAACTCAGACTTAAACGAAATTCCTGTTTGACAAGTACCACTCGATTACAGTGAAACTATACGGGAGCATCACATCATTTCGAATTTATAAGTACGCTCTGAACTCGATACGTCGTGTCTAATTACGTGACGTTCCAGAAAAGAATTGCTTAGTAACGATAAAATTGAATCTTCACCTCTTCGAGCGTAAAATAATTCACGTGGGAGTATGCAGATCCTTAAATTCCAAACTACCCCTAATTTTAGTATCAAAAAGTTTCAACATCAATTCAATAAAAGTTAAAGTCATAGTTGAAAGCATGCAAATCGACCATTGTTCTAAAACAACCCCTCGAGCAGAGAATGACCACTGTACGATCTTAAAACCACCCCTAATTTCAGCATCCCTATAAAACTTCTGAATAGCACTAAACTCCAATCAAAGGGCCTCTAAAAAATTTCCAATACTCTTGAACTTCAATAAAACAGCCCATTAACCCCGGGATTCAAAACCATACGGATCAAACTTCGTTTCTAATCCCATTATCGATCACCGAATAACCAATCCACAGTTTCGAAACCGTGATCGGTCGAAGGGCGCAGCCTAGTTCACCCTCTTCATCCCTACTGGTAATCCCGCGTAGCGTTGAATACGGCCTGGGTAAAATAAGAGGGAATCGCGCGTATAGGGTGGGAAGAGACTGAAAGAGAGGGTTAGGTGATGCCGAAGCGTAGTAGTGGTGGGGGAAGGGTTGGATAGAGATGCTGCGAGCAGAGAGAACGGTTTCAGTCGTGCGACGGCTTTCGGTTCGACCAGTCGATCGAGCTCGTCTCTTTAGAAGAGAGCTATTTCGCGTTGTCCGCGATGTTTCCGCCGGAAGTTGCTCGTGATCCACCGTGATCCAGTGATCGTGTGACTCTATAGTGAACCGGTTAGTGATCCTTCTTTTTCTTTTCGCGAACGGTTATAGTTTAACTAACTAATCTCTTATAACCACCTGTGCTTACGTGGTAGAAATAGTTTCGTGTTTATCGAGTTCTGAATTTTTTTTATTTCTATCGAGAAGTGATCCATGAACTCTTCCATGGGGGTGAGAGAAGTTGAATTCTATTCGTGGCTCGGGTCAAGGCTGAGTTGGCGAACTTTCCTGGCAGATTCTTCTTCTTCTCCTGTTTTTGTAAGTGAATGTCGATAGGTTAGGAATTGAAAGATAAATGGGGATGTATTACTCCGGCGAGGTTCTCGGTGAATTCATTTGCGAGCATTAATTGCTCGCGCGATCGAGACACTACTGGAGGAATCATTGAACACGATACCGGGGAATTTCAGAGTTACCCTTTGGCCAAAGACCTGGGTCAAGGCCACGGCAAAGCTTTGTTAAACGTAACGCGAAAGTTGGCTGGCATTGTGTTGAATTGTGGCGAATTTTTCCGTCCAAGAGGGAACGGCTTTTCGCGCTCGGAAGAGTTCATAGAAAACGTCTTCCCTTCCTACATACGCGTCTTCAAGGTCGACGTTCCTTCTTTCTGCCAACTCTTATTCGACCGTGAATTTCGCGTTTCTTTTCGATTGAACGATTGTTTCTTCGGGGTTCAATGATCCGTTTAGATCTCAAATCATTTTATAATATTATAGCATATTTATGTTCGTATTTTTGTAAAATAATTTAGAATTTTTCAAAGTATTCATTTTCTGTTGAATTGAAAATATTTATCAGTACAAATTCTCACCTTAAAAATATTTAATTTTTCTTAAAATAATTATTAATAATTTTTCTTATTTATATATTGTATAAATATACATATATATCATCTTATGAAATAATTTAAAATTCTTCAAAATTCTTTAAAATCCCCTTTATCTTCTATTCTGAAATTTATCTATTTGATTTTAAGATATTCATCTCACAAATATTAATTTGTTTTTCAAATAATTTTTAAAAATTCTCTTCATTCTTTTCATACATCCTTAAAAATGAGGTTCAGAAGTACAAATCTTTACCTAGAAAATTCTCCAAAGATAGAAAATTGTCTATCCCTCGAGTCTTCAAATTTACTTCCCCCATTTTTCTCAATTTCATTTTCTCAAATCTCTGAACTCGATTTTATTCGATCGTCCAGTTAAACGAAAGAAGAACCTGATTTACAGTATCGAAACGCTTTTGTCCTCGATGTTTGCAAGTGTATTTAATGTTCGTTGAAAGTGTGGAATGGGAGTGAAATCGATGACAACCGTGTGCCAAATAAAACAGATTGATACCGGTCGTGCAGGAAATCGCGTTACCATTTTTACGTGTATCTAAACGCGACACACTTTAATTCTCGAGCGAAAGGATTAACATAGTGAAAACGAGCAACATTCTTCAACAGGATTCACCTTCAAAGGTTATTGCTTTCTTTAGGCAACCACAAGGTTAGTAAGCGTTAATTAACATAACGCGATAAAAGTGGTGCGGTTAAAACGGTTAGAGGATGCTACAGGTTCAATCTCGACGACGAAATTCAGTTTCACTTGGACTTGTAATGTTGTTTAATCCTTTCGGCTTTGTAATACTAGGTTGATTACAGTCCAAACGTGAACTCGCGTTTGCCTTTAATTGTCATTTACGAAACTGAATATTGTCGTTAAACATACACGTGGGTAGAATGTTCTGTTGTTATTTTGTAACATAACGATTAATAGTTGGAATGAGCAATTTGTGTTAAGCAACTCCGTTGCGCCAATATTGAAAATTGATTGATCGTTCGTGTGATTCCACAACATACAGTTTGTAATGCAATTACACTTCGAGGCAAACCATGCGCGCGAATCCCCCCTCTCACAATCAGCTCAATTTCGAGATCGCCGGCTTTCTAACGTTTTCGGCTTCGACAGTGATTAGCGATCAGTCCGCCTTAGCGGTAAGACGCGTAGCAACCAGTGATTTAATCTTTGTACGACAGGAATCAGATAAATTGTGAATCGTTTAACCATGATCCAGCGATCAGTCTTAAACGCCAGCGGCTCATCCAAACCAAATCCTTCCAATTGTGGAAATCCAACATTCATAGCCAGCAACCCAAACAGCAATGAAGGGTTAATTTATTAAAATAAAATTAATTTGTTGCTTTTCTTTAAGCAATTAATATGAAATGAAAAATTAAAATTTTGCATTGTTATTAACACATTGAACGTCGTGGGGGTTATCAGTGATCAGCATTACAATTTCATTATGATTCAATAACTGATCGAAGATGCTAATCAACAGTAATATTATATTACTTATATAAGGCAACAAGTGAAAAGCTTAAAGTGATAAATGAAACGATAGTATTCTTAATAAATGTAAATTGTACTGTGTCTGACTATGTGTAGGTATACGCTCTTTTTCACCGCGGTGCTTAACGTTCACCACAGTAGTAATAACCGTGTATAGTCAGACAGCCTATAATTCCAATTACTCGGGATAACATTTTTCCAGTTTTTAATTCCAGCTTTACATTTATTACCTCGAACAATAGTACCCATTAAAATTTATGCTATGAAATATTAAAAATTTTATTTTATAACTTAATAACAATTATATTATCAAATTTCTCTCGACTGAAACTTCTTTTTTTTTTTTCTTTAACAATTTAGTTCACTAAGACTTAATATGAAATAAAAAATTAACAATTTTTATTATAATTAGCTAAGGACAAAAAGAAAATATACCTTTATTCTAAAAAATAATTGATAATTATGAATAAAACAATAATCTATATTACCAGGTTTCTCTTCAGCAATTACGTTCTCCAGAATTAATTAGAGTATTTATCTCTGGAATAAAAGAACGAATAAAGGAATTCTGAAAATCAATCAGTAATTTTCTCTGGGTAAAATAAAAAATTGATGAAACAAGATCGAAGACAAAATGAATATTGAAACACGTGTACCTTTTACCTCGTTCGTGTTGTGCAGCAATTCTTCCTATAATACGAAGACTTTAAAGTGCTGTTGGCTTTAATATTGGCTTTGTTTCCGATTTTTGCTTGGCTATCTTTCGCGAAATTCTTTCCTCTTGTTCGATTCCGACGAATACCGGAAACACGGTTCTTCACCGTTATTGCAACGGAAACAGAAACGTATATCGACGTGCAAATCGATAA